AAGTAATAATATTCATCTGACTAGTTTTCTCTTAAACCCATTTCTATGATGATGACGATGGGACTGAATTATATTTTGTATTTCAATCACTCCTGATAAATAGCATATTTGGAGAAATAAAAATATCTAAAATTTAAAAAATTTCTTCTTAATTGTTTTCTTGACCCAATGGCTGTGTATTTGCAGCTTCCAAAGTTCTTCTTTTTATTAATTTCTAGCTTTAATTCACTGTAGTCTGAGAAGATAGTTGGTATAAATTTGATTTCTAAAAATTTGTTGGACTCATTTTGTGGCCAAACATATGACCTGGAGAATGTTTCATGTGCCAAGAGGAAGAATGTATATTCTCTAGCTGTTGAATAAAATGTTCTGTAGGTGTCTGTTAAGTCTATTTGAACTAAAGTGAAATTTAAGTTCACTTTAGATGTAATGTTTCTTTGTTAATTTTCTGCCTAGAAGATCTGTCTAGTGTTGATTGGGGTTGAAATTCCCAACTATTATTGCATTGAAATCTATCTCTCCCTTTGGATCTAATAATGTTTCTTTACACATCTGGGGTCTTCAGTGTTGGGTGCATATATATTTAGAATCATTATATTCTCTTGCTCAGTCTTCCCCTTTATCATTATCTAATGACCATCTTTGTCTCTTTTTGCTATTTTGACATAGAGTCTCTTTTATGTGACATAAGTATAGTAACTCCTGCTCATTTTTGGTTTCTATTTGCATGGAATTTTTTTTTTAATTCCTTCATTTTCAACCTCTATGTGTCTTTACAGGTGAAATGATTTTCTTGTAGGCAGCATAGAATTGGATCGTATGTTTTTGGACCCCTTTAGCCAGTCTATATTTTATAAGTGGATAATTTAATCTGTTTACATTCAAGGTTATTATTGGTAAGTAAAGGGTTATTCCTGCAGTTTTGTCAATTGTTTTCTGGTTGTTTTGTATATCCTTTGTTTCTTTCTTTTCTCTTTTATTGTTTGTCACTGTAGTTTGGTGGTTTTCTGTAGTGGTAAGATGAGTCCTTTCTCCTTCTTATTTGTGTGTTTGCTCTACTAGTGAGTTTTATACTTATGTGTGTTTTCATAATGGTAGATATCAACCATTCACTTCCAAGTGTAGGGCTGCTTTAAGCATTTCGTTTCTTTCTTTCTTTCTTTTTTTTAGATGGAGTCTTACTCTGTCACCCAGCCTGGAGTGCAGTGGCACAGTCTCAGCTCACTGCAACCTCCGTCTCCCAGGTTCAAGCAATTCTCCTGCCTCAGCCTCACATGGGATTACAGGCACATGCCATCATGCCCAGCTAATTTCTTTTTGTATTTTTAGCAGAGACAGGGTTTCACCATGTTAGCCAGGATGGTCTCGATCTCCTGACTTCATGATCCACCTGCCTTGGCCTCCCAAAGTGCTGGAATTGCAGGCGTGTAATTCCAGTCTGATGAGGGGGGTCTCTTATATATAACTAGATGCTTTTCTCTTACTGTTTTTAGAATTCTCTGTTTGTCTTTGACTTTTAGCAGTTTGACTGTAACGTGCCATGGTGAGATCTTTTTGGGTTGTATCTATTTAGAGAGCTCTGAGCTTTCTTATCTAGATGTCTAAATATATTGCTGAACTTGGAAAGTTTTCATCTGATATTATGTTAAATAGGTTTTCTGTATCTTTGTCTTTCTCTTTGCCTTGTGGGACACAGAAAATTCAAATATCTGGTCACTTTATAATATACCACATGTTACACAGGGTTTGTTCATTTTTTCTTTTCTTTCTTCTTTTTCCTTCCTTCCTCTCTCTTCCTTCTCTCTCTCTCTCTCTTTCTCTCTCCCTTCTTTCCTTCACTCCTTCCTTCCCTCCTTCCTTCCTTCCTTCTTTCCTTCCTTCCCTCCTTCTTTCTTTCCTTCCTTTCTTTCCTTCTTTCTTGGTTATTTCAAAAGACCTGTCTTCAGGTTCTGGAATTCTTCTGCTTTATCTAGTCTATTGTTGAAGTTCTCAAATGTTCACGTGACTTTTTTATTTCATTCATTGAGTTCTTCAGTTCCAGGATTTCTGATGGATTCTTTTTAATGGTATCTATCTCTTTGGTTCTTTCCAACTTGTTGCTAAAAAATTTTTGTGCTCCTTTGAAAGTGTCATATATTCTGTCTTTTTCATGTTTTTTGTGTCCTTACATTGATATCTATGCATCTGGTACAGCAGTCACTTCTTTTTCCAGTTTTTTGGATTGGCTTTTGTAGGAGAAGACTTTTCTGAAGATGTATTTATGATGTTAGTTTGGTAGGGCACTTTAGCTTTGATTCTAGATATATGCAGTAGTATAATCTCTATATAATTTCTCTGACTGTCAACAGTATCTCTGGTATCTGTGATTTCCTCAGTGGCTTAGGCTGTAGTTGTTAGTTAAGGCTGTGGTGAAGTTTTGCTCGGGATGAGGACACTACATGGGCCACTCCTCAGGCCCCAGTGGTGGCAGTGGCAGACCAAGCATGCCTGTCCTTGGGCCCCCAGGTGATATACATGGGCACAAGTGTTAGCAAGTTCAAGCAGGCAGATTCTTGGGCCTCCAGGTGGCTTTCTTAGGTTTTAGTAGTAGCAGTGAGAGAGTAGTTCCTCATGACCCTGGATACTATATGTGGCATGGGCAATGGAAGTAGTTGTGATGGTATTAGTGGCAGCTCTGATGGGCTATGCAGGACAGTCCCTAGGCCCACAGGTGGCATGTGCAGATAGGTGCTAGCTGTGGTGACAGCAGCAGGCTTAGTGAGCCTGTATTCTGGCCCCCAGAGGGAGTTCACAGATGCTAGCAGTGATGAGTGAGGTGAGGTAATCCCCAGGCCCTGGGGCAATATGCTGAGGCACTAGAACATGGTGCCAGGCTGGGTGCACCTGTACTTAGTCTCCTTGGTTGTGTGCATGGGAGTAGCCTATGGTGGGCAGGATGGGGTGATCCCTAGGTCCTCAGATGAAGTGCTCAAGTGGTAGCAGTAGCATTGGTGGTAAGAAGAGAGAGCCTATCCTCAGGGCACATGCATGTTAGCATGGGTGAGATTGCTGTCAGTGGCAGCAGCTGCTGGCAGGCAGCTCTCAGGCTCTGGAGAGCTCATACTCTGGCCTTCTATGCTGGTGGCAGCAGCAATAGTGGCAATGGCAGCTGGGGAGAACCTAGCCTCAGGGCAGATCCAAGCGCGTTTCAGCCCAGCTACTGGAGGGAGTAGGGTAGCTGTCAATAGCAGCAGTCCCCAGAAGGCAGGTTTCAGGCTCTGGTGAGTGCAAGTTTTGTCTCCCTTTTTCCTGGGGGCAGCCTCCCTAGTGAGCTGCTGCACTGCCCATGTGTATGCTAGAGTGCTGAGGGCTTCGCCATTCAGCTGGGTTCAATTGATGTCACGCCACTCAGCCCACTGGGTGGATGCAGGAGCATGCCAGTGGGGGATCAGCAATGTGGAGATGAAGGGGCTGTTGGGCTCCTGGGCAGGATGCAATCTGGTGGGAATTGGGGTCTGCATATGGTATCTTGCTGTAGCTGCTTAGGACGTGGAGGTGTGTGGGACTGAGTGTGATCTCCCTTTCTGGAGCAATGCTGTCATGTGGTCTCCAGGCAGCTCCCTCTTATAGTTTCAGGGCCTGCAAGAGTTGAAGGGCTCTCCTGGGGCTAGGGTTGCAGTAGTCTGCAGTGAGAGTGTGGGCCTCTGGGGATCTCTCACTTACTCTTTTCTTGTACTGAGGAGGCTCTCCAGGCACCCAGCTGTTCCTGGCCAAACTGACTGCCTTCAAAATTTAAAAAATACAATACATATCACTACACACACACTATAATGGCTATAATTCAAAAGACAAGTTTTGTTAATGATGTGGAGAAACTAGAACCCTGATAACATTGCTTGTAGGAACAGAAAATAGCACAGTCACTTTGGAAAACAACTTAGCAGTTTCTTAAAAAGTGAAACTTCACATAAAATTCAACAATTCTACTACCAGGAATTTACCCAAGAGAAAGAAAACATATGTCCCCACAAAGACATTTATACAAAAGTTCATGGCATTATTCATAATAGCTCCAAACCTATCAATTGGTGAATAAACAAAATGTCAAATATTCATATAATGGAACATTACTCAGTCATAAAAAGAATTATCTTCTAATATATGCCATAGAATGAAATCTGCAAATCATTATGCTTAGTGAAAGAAGCCAAATTCAAAAGAGTATATATTATATGTCTCCATTTATATGAAATGTCCAGAATGGACGAACCTATTAAAACAGAAAATTAGATAAGTAGTTGCTTATTACCTCAGAGGGTGGGGAAACTGGAGGAAAATGGGGAGTAACTGCTAATGCATGAGCAATTTCTTTCGGGGATGATAAATATGCACTAAAATGGATTGTGGAGATTGCTGCACAATTCTATGAGCATACTGAAAACCACTAAATTATATACTTCAAATGGATTAACACTATAGCATGCAAATCATATCTTAATAAAGCTGTTTTTAATTCAAAAATGAAAAATGCAGTAGAAAATGGGAAGCTAAGCTTTAGGAAAGCTAACAAGAAGAAACAGAACAGCATGGGAAGAAGGTCAGGAGTGAGACAAGGAAGCTGGGCATTATATATTGGAGTCTGGTGAGCAGAGGCAAGGTCTGGAGTTGATGGAGTGAATTACTGAGGGGTTCATTCCTGAGTCTACCTAGACCTGAGTGCTTAATGAATATTGGAAGATAATGCTTGATAGCATCATTAGGGGGTGGAAGGAACAGTGTGAATACCAGCGACCAGCTGTGACTAACCAGTATATATATACCTGGGTTTTCTGGATTTATATGATCGCATGGAGAGAGGGAGGATCCCTAATGATTAAGGAAATTAAATGTCCCGTTATTGATGAGAGTGGGATCTCAGTGTGGATTAAATTTAATGCAGATGAATACTGCAAGATAATTGGCTGAAGTGGGCATGATGATTATCTCATTGATATTCATTCTCTTTCTTCCCCTTTGTGTAGTGACCATGAAGTTTGGGGAGATTATCTTCAAGGACATGCCCTGAATAGGATCAGTTACTCAAAGTAAACCCATCTCCTTTGCCACAGTACAGACCTACCTCCCATAAAATGTTCTGTTTTTTGCTATAGCGGTTCTTGAAAAGTCATGTCATTTTCAGACAATTCATTTTTTCCATGTGAGGCTTTTCCTGTTTACTCCAAGACACATTAAATAAAAAAATAGAAGTAATCGAAATAATAAATGCTAAAAATAATAAATATTATTTTTTACATTGACATATTCAGTTTACTCAAAGACATGTTCAATTTACTCAACACAACATTTTCTAGTCAGACAATTTCATATGAATTTAATTTGAATTTTGAACAATGTCTAGCAAAAACAAAACAATTGACTTTGCTTACGTATGCCAAATAAGAGGGATAGAGGTTTGCAGCTTTAACAATGCTTAGTCTGTTGTGAACCTACACTATTTCTGCATCTTTCAAAGTTTTCATTTTCTTAGCTTTTATTTTATCCTAAAAGTATTTTTGTGTGCTGTAATTTTTCAGTGTAGTTTAAGTGCAAGATCACCAGAGTCCCAAGAGGTTTAACAAGCGATGAAGAAAATGGCACAAAAATTAGACTAGGAATAAATCGGTAAACCCTTAGTATATTCTATTTTATGCCTAAATTTGAATTTTTGCTTTCAAATTATTGGACTTTTAAAAATTATGTACACTTATTTGCATAGTTTGTTATATAAAATCATCAGGTACCTTGAGTTGAGACTAAATGCATCACAATTTTTCTTTTAAAATGAAAAAATATTTTTTACACTTAGCAACAGAGGCTCCAGGAAGGAATTGGACATTAAACAAGGAATAAGTGTTTTAAGTTACTCAGGACTGAGTTAATCAAAGCATGATATTTCTCTTACAGGATTTGGTTCAGTGGTTGCCCACTGGGAACCATACAAGTCAGAAAACTCATATGACTGTTAGGGAAGGGACTGGCTCCTTTTCTTCTTGAATGTGGACATAAAGTATGCAGCTCTATGGGTACTGGTACCGTTTTGTGACCATGTCAGGGAGATAGATAGCTTTGGATTGAAGCCGATATGACAGGCAGAATGAAAAGGCAGAAATAATCTATGGCTTTGAGGATGTGATTTACCTACCAAATTAAACTAAGCAGAAAAATCATCATATTTCTCGAGTTTCTAGTTATGTCTCTGCTGTTTACAGCAAACTGATCTGAGTTTTTTAATACATTTTAATAAAAAGTGTCATAAATAGGGTTTTTAGTTTCCAGAAGTATGACGGAATACATGTGCAGAGATATCCTTCCAGGAATAAGAAAAATAATATGAAGTAAATATTTAATTTTTTTTTTCTGGAACATTGCTGAACTGGAAGTAAAGAACTGGAACTAGAGGAAACAAACAATGAGAAAGTATAATTCCATGAGGATTAGCTGAATCCTAGAGGTTGCCTGATCCTTCGGAATATCTGCCAATTGTTATAGCCTGAAGTCTGGATGTTAATTGGCATATGCTTTAAAAACAGAAGTGAAAACCAGGTGCCAGAGTAGAGAAGGTAGGATCAGAAATACCTGCATGAAACCAGGACCCTTCAAAGCATGACACTCACAGTGGGTAAACAAGAGGCAAATGTGACCCACAGCAGGAAGGATATTCCTTCTCTTTGCATGGAGCAAAAATAAAGGAAAAAAGTTCCCCCTGAGATGTCCTAACCACCAGCCATATTCCCATTATTTTACCACTGAAATTAATAATGCCTAAAGAAATTTAACTAGAAATTTAATTTGAAAGTTGATAATACCCCAGATACTATTGTTATGAAGAAATGTATTTTATTTGCAGGCCTCAAATAAAATATTATGAAGTTACAATAGAAACTATTAATACACATGCAAAGAAGCAACCATGAATCAAAAATATAGCATAAATAATAGTTGTAGAAGCATATGTACATTAATAAAAATACAACACTTCAAAACTTTTGGAACAGAAGGGAAATTTAAAATCATAGGGAAATTTAAAGCCTAAAGTGTTTGTATTAGAAAAACCTTGATCACCTAAGAATTTGTCTTAAGGCATTACAAAAAGAACAGCAAAAGTTAGTCATTCTTCCCTTCATTCAATGATGATACATGCTGAGAAATGCATTGCTAGGCAATTTTGTCATTTTGTGACTATCATAAAGTGTACTTACATAAGCCTAGATAGTATAGCACACTATACACGTAGGCTATATAGGATAGCCTAGTGCTTGGAGGCTACAAACCTGTACAGCATGTTGCTGTACTCAGTTTTGTAGGCAATCATAACACAACAGCATTTGTATATATATACATATCTAAATATAGAATAGGTAAAGTAAAAATGCTGCATAAAAGATTTTAAAATGCTACACCTGTTTAGGGCATTTACCACAAATAGAGATTGCAGGACTGGAAGTTTCTCTGGGGGAGTCAATGAATGAGTGGTAAGTGAATGTGAAGGCCTAGGACATTACTGTATCCTACTTTATAGACACTGTATACTTAGGCTACACCAAATTTATTTTAAAATATTTTTCTTTCTTCAGTAATAAATGAATCTTAGCTTATTGTAACTGTTTTACTTTTACATTTTTAAATTTTAAAAAAAATTTTTACTTTTGTAATAACACTTAGCTTAAAACAAAAACACATTGCACAGTTGTACAAACTCTTTTTTCACAGTTTTATTCTATAAGCTTTTTTCTATTCAAACTTTTTTTGGTTTATTTTTGTAACTTTTTTGTTAAAACCTAAGACACAAACATATTAGTCTAGGCCTATACAGCATCAGAATGATCAATATCACTGTCTTCCACTTCCACATCTTGTCCCATTGGAAGGTCTTCAGAACAATAACATACATAGAACTGTCATCTCCTGTGGTAGCAATGCCTTCTGGAACACCTTCTGAAGGACCTACCAGAGGCTGATTTATGGTTAACTTTTTTTTCATAAGTAGAATGAATATGTTCTAAAATAGTAATAAACTGAACAGTATAGTAAATATATAAACCAGTACCATAGTCCTTTATCAGCAAGTATTATGTACTGTACATAATTGGATGTGCCATACTTGTACGTGACTGACAGTAAAGTGGTTTGTTTGCACCAGTATCACTGCAAACAAACGTGTGAGTAATGTGTTATGTTACAATGCTAAGAAGTCACTGTGTGATTGTTCAGCTCTATTACATTACGAAGGGCATCATATACGCACTCTGTTGTTGACTAAAATGTCATTATGTAGCGCACAACTGTAAACCCAGAAACTGTAAGAGTAAGAAGAAATAAAATAATAAAGACAAGAACAGAAAAACATAAAGTAAAAAACTTCATACTTTTGTATCAACAAAACCAAAAATGGTTCTTTGAAAAACTAATGATATTGAGAAACCTCAGGCAAGTTGGATTAAGGAAACAAAAGAGACAGCACAAAAGATTAGGAATGAATAAGAAGGTATAACTAAAGAGGCTACAGAGATCAAAATGACAAGAAAATATAAGTAAATTTAATGTTAACACATTTGAAAAATTAAGTGAAATGAACAAAACACTTATAAAAGTTACCAAAACTGACTCAAAATTGGTCAAGAAATAAAATTTTTGTAGTACATAATGCTCCCTTGAAGAAAACAGCAGATTCACACAATTTTACAGGAGAGTTCAAAGAAACATTCAAAGAAAGTTAACTCCAAACCTGAAATTCCAGTTAACAGAATAAAAGAGGTTTTCCAATTAGTTTATATATTTAATTTCTTTTGTTATCAAAAGTAAAGAGAGTAAAAGAAAGGGGAAAAACAGGCCAATCTTATTAATGCAAGAACAAAAAATTCTAAAAAAGGAAAAGTATAAATTGAACCCAGCAATGTATAAAAAGATGATATATAATTACCAAGTTTGATATACTCTAGAAATGTAATTTTAACATAATAAACATTAAATTTAACATTATAAAATCTATTAAGTAATGTATCACATTAATATATTGAAAAAGAAAATATTATTTTAATAGGTATAGAATATACATTTGATAACATTTAATAATCATTTTTGATACAAAATCCCAGTGGACAAGCTGTAAAAAGGAATTTATTTAACCTGAAACAGTTATGTATGGAAATTTTATAGCAAACACTGTAATCAATGGTGAATCACTATAATCATTCACTATACAACTATTGCTATTCAACATTGGATTAAATATCATAGCCAGTGCAATAAGAAAAAAAAGAAAAAGAAATGCTGTAAGGATTGGAAAGTAAATTATTATTAATCAGAGATAACATGGTTTTCCACAAAATAGGAAATCTGAAGGAATTCTGCCCGAATTGTTACTATTAATCATTTGGGGGATTAATACAATAAAGTTATTAAGGCTCTGTCAAAGTTACCATTACAAGATTAATAACTAAAAGTCAGTGGCATTTTTATATACCAGCAACAAACAGCTAGAAAAGAAAAATTTTAAAGCATAGTATTTACAATAGTAAAAAAAAAAAAAAAGTACCCAACAAGATTTTAACAGAAAGTATGTAAAGAGATGTTTTGTTTGTTTTGTTGGTTTTTGTTTGGGTCGTCTTGGTGTGTTCCTTAAGACAAATCAAACAGAAACCGAGGCTGTCATTTTAGTGGGGTTTCTAAAGGGAGTAGAGATAAAATGGATATTTTAAAAACAGGCTTGCATCCAAGCGTTTTTTTTAGTCCCACCTGTATCCTACTTCTAGAATAATTGGGGTCAAGAACCCTGAAGCTTTGCAGATTCTGCAATGGCAATTAGTGTGCTTCTAAATTTTTTCCACTGATGGATTTATTCCGATTTCATGGATCTGCTAAATCATTTACCACACAACCATCATTTACCACACAACCATCCGCCATTCAGATTCCACTACCTTCTCCCCTCTTGTCCCTTTGCCCTGGAGCATTTTTACTTCCCCCACCATTCTCTCTTCCCCTCAATCCCTTGACAGTTGTTTGAGAGTTTCTGGGAGAATGCAGAGTTCAGTATGTGTGTTTAATTCTCCATTTTTACCACAGGCCCAGTCTAACTTTCTATAAGCATATCTCTGAGAGAAATCAGGTATTCACTTGGAAACCAGGTTAATCAAGTATTCATTTGGTCATGGAAGAAAGACCATGCTCTTTTATCCCAGCAGGGCTGACTGTTCTTGAAACCTCTAACCAGTGGACAGCAATCACATTAATTGGCTTAGCCTATATGCCAAGTTTATTTAACCTGGGTTGAGAGTATTACCAGTGCCTGAGTCAGGGTCAAGTGTAACAAATGGTTCCAGGGGGATACCAAAATGTTGCTCTTTGGGGCCTGCTTAAATGTAGCTTTCCTCTCAAGTGTAGGGTGAGAAGAATCTAAGGCACACTACGAGCTCCGCCAAAAAGCAGAACTTTGATGGTTTTGTGAGGCCAAAATAAACAAGGCATGACAGCCTTGATTTATGTCTTTCCCTCTTCTCGTGACTGAGAAGAAAAGACATACAGTAATGTAATGACATGCCTTTTAGACTTCCCCTTTTGCAACTGATGTTTAATATGCACTGGTTGCTACTGCTGCGCCGTCTCAGGTTTTTCTTATTACGCATGTACCTCAAGGTGATCGTTCACAACTGACATAGTTTTAGAAATACTTTTTAATTATGATTTTAAAAGATAATAGTTATAAGAACTTTACTAATTTAGGCTGTGGATTCTTATCTATAGCTGAACAAAATTACACTCTAATTTCCTTCAAAACTTGTAATTTAGCACAGAATCAAATCTTTCCTTTGATCTTCAGATCTTCTGCCTAGTTTCCAAATCCCTAGAGATCAATCTAATCCTCTAAGAGTCTCTTCCTTTTAACTCTTTCCTTCTAGGGATCTCAGATTATGAACCCTTTTTTCAAAACCTATCATTGAGGGACCGGCATCAAATCTAGGACAACATTTACAATGTTGAACAATTGATCTAATGACCACTGACTTAGGAGATTTTGTTTCTATATTCATCACAGGTGCCCTGTATCCTTGGAAAATACCTTAACCCCAGCTTTTCTGCCCTTTGTAAATGAAAATGACAGTATTTGTAATCGGTGTCTTTATGCAAGGGAAGCGTGTATAGAAAGAAAAATACATAAAGATATCAGTTTGTACTATTGTTCCCAGTTTTCTATGGTTAGTACTGAAATATTATGAAAAAGGGAATACAATAAAAGTGAAAGGGGAAACAAGAAACAAGAGAGAATAATGAGAATTATATACAAGGATATAAAATGATACTTTCAGAGGGAAATGTAGTCATAGACTTCTTCAAGAAGCTTTTACCCAAATAGCGATGTAGGAAAAATCACCATGAACTATATATAAGAAGCTTAACAGAAAAACTAACAAAGCAGTAAATAAAAATAAAAGGAAGACATTGTTATCTCAGTTGGAGAAAATGGGAAGTGAGACGTTTATTTTGTAGGAATATTATTTTAAATAAGGCTTTAAAAGATATTTTTTAACGTTCAGAAAGGAAATGTCATGCTGCTGCGTTT